GGTTCCAGTAAGATGTATTTGAATTTTTTTTTGCTCGTAGATATTATTTAATATCTTCTTTAATTTCCTCTGTGACCGAATGATTTCTCAGGAGTGTATTTCCATGTGTTTTTGCAGTTTCTTTTATCATTAATTTCTAATTTCATGGTTTATGATCCAATAACATGCATGGGGTAATTTCAGTTCTTTTGCATTTACTTAAGCATGTTCTGTAGGCTAGTATATGGTCTATTTTATAGAACACTCCATGTGCTGCTGAGAAGAATATACATTGTTATTGGGTGGAGCATTCTACATATGTTCACCAAGTCAATTTGTTCACAGGTGTGATTCAGTTCTGTTATTTCCTTGCTGATTTTCTGTCTAGTTATCTGTCCCTTTGTGTCAATGGTGTGTTGATGTCTCCTGTTATAATCATGTTTTTGCTTGATTTTTAAATTTCTATTAATATTTGTTTTGTATAGCTTGGTGCTCCCAAATTTGGTGCATAGATATTTAAAATTGTATTCCCCTAACTAGCAAGTAGTGACCTTCTTTAGCTCGTTGGATTATTTTTGTTTTGGAATTCATATTGTCAGGGCTGGGGATTTAGCTCAGCAGCATAAGCGCCTGCCTTGTAATCAGGCAGTTGTGAGTTCGATCCCTGGTACCGATAAAAATGAAAAAGACAAAAAAAAAAAAAAAAAAAAAAGAAAGAAAGAAATTCATATTGTCTACAAATCGATTAGCTACTCCTGCTTTTTTTTTCTATCCTGTTGCATGGAGTATTGTTTTTCATCCTTTGACTTTCAGTCTATGAGTTTCCTTTTGGGTTAGATGGGATGGGATTCCTGTATACAGCATGTGTTTGGATGTTGTTTATTGGTTAATCCTGTCTCTCTGTTTCTTTTAATTTGTGCATTTAGACCATTTACATTAATGGTTATAATTGATATATATTGGTTTACTTTTGACATGTTATCTTTCTGCTGTTGATTGTTTACCTTTCCACTTTGTTTAATTGTTTGCCTTGCTTAGGGGTTTGTTCCTATGTCTATCTAGAATGTCTTTCAGTATTCTCTTCAGGGTTGGTTTGGTGGTCATGAATTTCTTCAGCTGTTCTTGGTATGGAAGTATCTAATTTCTACATCCATTTTTAAAGACAGTTTTGCAAAGTTCATTCGTCTATGTTGGAAGTTGTTTTCCTTTAGGATCTGAAATACTTCACTTCATGTTCTCTTGACTTCACTGTTTGTGTTGAGAAGTCTTTTGTGATTCTGATAGGCTTTCTTTTATAGGTGATCTGTCTCTTCTCTCTAGCAGATTTTAATATTCTGTTCTTTTGTTGGATTTCTGGGATGTTTATTATATGACTGAGTGTAGTTTTATTTTGCTTATATCTATTTGAGATTCTATATATTCTTCAATGATCTGTATATCAGTTTCCATTCTCATGTTTGGGAAATTTTCAGCTATTACTTCTGTAAATAGCCTCTTGATATTATTTTGTTGTCACTTTCTTTTTCAGTTATATCTATTAATCTAATGTTGTTTTTCTTAGCATCATGTTGCAGCTGTTGAGTTATTTCCTAATTCCGTGTTATTTTTAAAAGATTTTTCTTTTCCTGTTCACTAGCTGAAATCTTGTCTTCATGATTTGAAATTCTATCTTCACTTTCATTGAGGCAGTTTTGCCAACTTTTGATGGAATGTTTGGTTTCCTGTATATCTCCTTGAATCTGCTTCATGCATTCTGTTTGTTTCTTACATTGTTCATTCAGGGTTTCCATCTTTTTTCACTGTTCTTCTGATTTTTTAAACTATGTCTTCTTTAGTTGTGCTCAGCATTTTTTTCATTACATTTATCATTTCTTCTTTTATCTGGGAGATTGTTTCTGATCTGAGTTCTTTTATAGCTTCCTGGAGTTGTTTCTTTATTTCAGTTGTTATCATTTCAGGAATTTAAGGTGTATGGCTTACATTATCTTCTGTGTCCACATCTCTTATGCTAGCTTGGGTTAGGCTGGAAGTTTGAGATTGCATTTTGCTCTCTTGTTTTGTCATTTTCTTATATTTCTGGGTTACAAGTGATGTGCCAAAGCCTTGTGTGATGGGAATAACCTGACCCACTTTTGTCTCCCGGGGAAGATTGCAGACAACTGCTAGCCACTAGGAGGTTACTGGGCATGGCCCAGTTAGGCCGGTGGGGATCTCCCATGAGTTCTCCGATGATTTAGGATGCTAGCTGAGAGTGACATTCCAAAACTTTCCCCATGAATCTGGATTCAACTTGTCCATGTTTGGCTTCTGGGGGTCAGCTGATTTTTGAACTGATATTTATTTAAACATATAGAACCAAAAAAGATCTTTGATAGCTGTTGAGGGCTTCTGTGTGTGCACTGGAATAACATTCAAACCTCCTCCAAGTCATTCTTTCTGATTATATACAACTCCATGGTTATAAGGAATTATGGAGGATTGTGGCCTTCTCAGATCTTTCCTGAGCGGATACACAGCCCTGAACCTGTTCCATGCCTTCTAGTTTTCCTAGAAAATTTCGAAGGTCATCGAAGCCCTCCAGGTATTATTCCCCAGTCTTTCTTCCTATAATTTTGTTTAACCTATTATTTGCCTCATTATATATTAGGGAGCAGAAACCTGAAAATATTTTTGACAGATTCCTCTTATTGTTGCATAAACTTAAAAACTAGTCCAATCAGTTACAATACTTAAAACAAAGACAACATTTGATCTGGGTAGTGAAAACCATCAGAGAGGTAAAAAATTATCATTAATTATAATTCTTTGGGAAACAGAACCATTCTGTTTTCTCTAACACTGTAAAAACTCATAAATCTACTGTTCTTTGTTTTAATCAGTATTTCCTGGGTTACTGCAAGAGCTTTATAAATTTCAGAATTCTGGGAAGGTTCATGACAATTTTTGCTGTTTTTTTCATTGTTTCATGGAAGGACAGAATTTTTATTTTATTACAGAACCATTTGTTTTTTAAACTGATGTGCTGATATTATTACATGCTATTTTTTACTACAGAAAGTCTACCTTTTTACTGGTCATCAGATTGGTAGTTTGTTTTCCTAACTTTTTGTTAAATGATGAAACTTCTTCATAGCCTATTGAATTATTAGCTATTGAATTATTGAATTGAATTATTAGCTAGTCCTTTGTTGAGATTCAAAACTTTATTCACTAACTCTTTATTCATGAAAAACTACTTGAATACATGCTATATGTGAATCATATGTTTTACCAGACAAAACATATAATAACTCACAGTCTGGCAAGGCAAACATATATATTTGCTATTACATATTGATGCCATATTTTTCTAATCTTAATAAAATTTCATTTAACTAAGTTATCCACAATAAAATTACAGAGTTAATTTAGCACCTGTGTATATCTAATGCTGAAAGCATAGTCCTATTAGGATATAGAACAAGCATTTTTATAACGAGACATTCTCCCTAAGTTTGTTTAACTTGGACCATGAACCTCCTAGCCTGAATGACATGCTTCATTCCATCTTTTAAACTGTTGACTGAATTAAGATGTGTTGATGAATATTAATTTCTTTCACTAAAGCTACTGACACTTAGACATTCCTGTTGTCTGCTTGTTTCATGGAATAATGAAAATTTCTAGTGCTTTACTCCAAAGCATAGATGTTGGCACCTTAAACTGACAGGCATATTTCAGACAGCCGGTACTATAAACTACCCTATTTTGCCATTCTGAATGGCCTCGAAGGTGTCTTTATTTTTCCTGCACGTGTTTGATACTGTAGACCCCTTTGGAGACTGTCTCAGGGATTATTTATAATGTACTGATGTTACCTTATTAGTAGCTGCTATTTCTGCACAGAAGCATGAGGTTTGTTGACACTTGTTTTACTGCTGAAACTTTATTTTTGGTTTCTGGTAAAACACTATGAAGTTTCACTACTGAAATGTTATGGCAACCTGGATGAAAAGTCATCACATGTTCATTTCCCTACAGGTTCCAAGGCTTTAAGTAAGCACCTGAATAAGCTTTAGAAACTTGACAGATAATGTGATTGCACAATGTTATTACATTCCTGTTTCAGTTGGCACTTATATAGCTCTCACAAACACAAGTGGGGTTGGTAACTTTCCTTTGCAATAGTATTTCAAGAAATAGATCCAAATGTACAGCATACATGTAAATGTATAGAAGGGAAAAATATTAAGCAATTTTTATTAATTTTGGAACAGAGCTCTTTTGGCAATAATGAGAAAGTCTTAAAACTACCACTCCTGTGACTTGGTGATCTCTATGCAGGAGCAATGTAATACAGTGGAAATTTTCACCCTGCTTATTGTGGGCAGTGAGTTTTTTTTTTTTTTTTTCTATAGCAACTTCACAAAAGGCTCCACACTAAGGCAGTCTGAGCAGATCACTGTTCATTTTCGTCTCAGCTCATTAGCTACTTTTGTTCCATCTCTTTCCTAGCTTTCTATGATCTAATGATTCATAAAGGATGTGTGCAAACTGGTTTTTAATTTAAAATATATTCTGAGACAGAATTTGAACAAAAGTTTATTTCCATTTTTTGAAGCAAGTTAGATTTTTACTTAAAACTTTCTCCCTATAAAAACAAATATATCCAGCACTGTTTTGTGCTTTCATTTTGCTTTGATTTGTAAAGTAAGCTGTAAAACTGAAAGGCTAATGATATATGCAAAGTAAACCGAAATGTTTTATAACACAGAATAAGAGTTGTCATTTTCCTCATATGAATATAAATATATATGTATGCATATATACACATATACATGAATTACTCAGTGCTTATATACTGGCTTTAACATCATATACATGTATGCATGTGTGTAAGGAAGTATATAGTATATCTATATATGTATGTGTATATATGTGTGCATGTGTGCCCAAAATAGCTAAAATTCTTGGAAAACTAAGTAAAATGTCATCTCATTTTTTTCGTTTATTCCACATTAATTTTTTATTTCCAATGGCAGGCTAATCGTGATGCTCAAGCTGAGAAACAAAGCATGCTATGTAGACATGTTCTTGCTTTCGGGTTCCTTACAATACAGAAGTCTGAAAGGTGGACTGGTCATTGCAGTAGTTTATGTCAATGCTAAGGTAAGCCGCTGAGCTAGAGCATGAATCTAATGTACCTGAGAGAGCACAGACATCTCTTGAGAAAGTGCTATTGAGGCCAGAAAGATGAAACTGCCTTTAGGTAAACAAAGGCAATGCATGATAAGAGGATCAGAGATAAAGCAGAGTGAAAAAGGCAGCACAAATCAATGGACCAAGCGACAAGAGAACATGCGGCTGGAGGAAGAAAAAGGACAAGGTAAAATGTGATATGATGTAGAAATAGTCAGCATCTGGTCAATGAAGATTCTCACAACTCATGTTACTGGGGTGAAACCATACAGCAAAAATGTATACCCTGCTATGGAAATCTGTGGAGAATAATGCAATCCAGAGAATTTTAAGTCATGATTAATATTTAATAACTGAATTAATCAGTAAAATCTACAGACTTGCAAAAACTAGACATTGGTAAGTAATCAACTTGCTTCCATAAGTTTGATTAATATGTGAAAATGAAGATCAATTAAATTTTCTTGATATCATTATAGGCAATTTATCACTGGTTAGATACAGTATGAATTTGTTCTCTTCTTAATGGTTCCTCTAATAGCTTAATATGAATATAATTAGAAAACTGTAGTTATTAAGTTCATTAAAATTAATTAATTAATAAAAGAGCACTACAGATATGTCAAAGTTTACTTAACGATTCACATATAATGTGTTTGGAAATATCAAAAGTAACAGCCTGCTGTGTGACAGATCAAATTCTCTTAAGAATCAAGAAAACTTTCATCTTATAAAAGTTATGAAGTTCAAGGGGGTAAAATCTAAAAGATGCTGATTGGATATTGGGTATTGGATATTGACAAATTTGAGGGAGATCCTAGAGCCTTTCAGGGCTCACAGTATGTGTACAGCTGGATCTCAAGGATTTCTGGAATTTTTCCTTTTTCTGGTCACTTCTGTATTGACTCTGACTCTTAAACTTTATTTTAAAACACTTTAATGTGCCATGAAATTGTGATATATGCATTCATTTGTCTGGGTTAGTTTGGCCCAGCTGAGTGTTTTCCAAATGATGATAGAACTGAAACAAGAATCAGATAATAGAAATGGAACAAGAATCAGAACACATATTCTTTGAGATAGAAGCATGTTTAGGAACTTGGAGATTTCAAAGAGGCAGGCTTAGATGGGGACCAATAATAGCAGTGTCACTCTTTGAGATAGGAAAAGACTGAATTCTCAAATTCTGAAAGTACGTTGGAAAGAGAATTTAAGAAAAACATTTATTGAAATGGCTAACGGTATACCAACTTTAAGTGTAAGTTAAATCAATGGAATTTTAACACAGTTACAACCACAGTATCTGGAAGATATTCAACTTTAGCTATAAAGAGTTGAGCTGCATAATTAAAGTTTACAGTTATAAAACTTACTTGTTTAGAGAGAAGTAGTATTCTGCTGAAGAATAAGCATCAAAATTCTGAGTTTCTCATTGTAAAATCTGACTCTTTTGGTACCTGAGAAGCATAAATTGTTTAGTATGTAATGATAATATAACCCAGGTCAGGGTGGATGTTATTCCTATTATATTCTCTATGATTAGCAAAAAGTGATTTGCTTGTTGATTTTGAGGAGCTCCGTAATTCTCTGGAGAAGGACAGTGAGAGAAGACTCACCAACCTAGTAATTAGAGCTCTATAAAGGGTTTCTCTGTGGAAAAATAGCTACTTATTTTCTTAGGAAGAGGTAAAATGAATGGTTCATTTTTTTTCTTTTTGCCTTTAAAGGCACTGCAGAGAGAGCTTACTTGAGGATTACACACTGAGTAGATACAAAGCAAGGTTTAAAACCCACCATGTCTTTGAAATTCCATTTAATACTTTATTGTCAACATATAACGATGTCAGTTTTTCAATTAACAAAATGTACTAGCAAAACACTATGCATGCTTACTCAGTCTTCCATCTGCTTTCATTTCCTAAATTGATACCTAATGAAAACTGATATGTGAAGACTAATGTATAGTAAGCCTCAATTCTATTCTTTGATAGCATACTTAATGCCTGTTTGTCGATGAGTCACTGATATGAATCAGGCTGCTTTTGCTTAATTTATTTCCTTTTAAGTAGAAGTGGCTCTTTGGAGGATAGGGGGTACGTATCCATGCTGGGTAACATTTTGAGTGTTCTGTGCTTATCTTCATGAGGATTTTCCTTACACATCTTATCGGTAGCACAGACTGACATTAGTTCTGAGAAGAGGGCTTGCTTGGTAAGATTGCAAAAGCTGAAAAACAGTCTTCTGGGTAGATCTGGTGGAAGTAAACATTCTTTTATTAGTTGGAAGCATTCCCATTTTCAAATTTGTGTAAAAGGAAAAGGAAATTTTCTCCCTACTGCTTACTCTATTTCTAAACATCTTGTAAAGCCCTCTTTTTCATCTTTTATTACAGGACATTATGTGGATAGCAGAAATTAGACATTCCAGGGTATTTACAAATGTAGTATTTTGAAAGGTATATTACTTTTTCCACTGGAAATTAATGCAATGAGAACCATTTTACAGACACTCTAAACCGTAAAAATGCAAACACAGTTCATGTGTGGCATTTCTTTTCAATGGGGCGTTAGTGTCCATGTAGATTGATTCCTCTATGGCCTTTATGGTGTATTGTCTCTTCTTCCAGCTTTCTAGTTTGGCTCCTTATATTACTTTTCTTCAAACTGATTTTCATGTCTACTTATATTCTTTTTTAATTTCCTTTCCCCCCTTTATTTTCTTTTTTCATCTAGTCCACTTCTTTATTAACCTGTGTTCTCTAGTAAGCATTTCTTTTAGAGTTGTCATTACATATTCATTTTCTTCCTCAATTAATATTATTCTTATGTGCTCAGAACTCATGAACTATACATCCATCACTGACCTTTCATCTACACTCAGCTTTTTCTTAAACTTAACTATTTTCTAGACTATTTCCTATTCCTAGACTTTATTTCCTAGACTTAACACTAAAGGTTAATGCTTATTGAAGTAACAACACTTCAGCTTTGTATTTCTGGATGAAGCTATCATCACCAGTAATCCCAGTCAGATATCATGTGGGTCTTTAATTCTAATTTTTACTCCCCAAATTACTTCAAGTAATAACAAATTGAAGGTCACCCCTATAGCATGCTCATCATTCATGTGACAATCCCTTTCTCATCTGTTTATGATAGAATGTTGAACAAACTACTTGGATATAATTTATGAAAAATAAGACATTGTTGTTTCTTGCATAGTTTCTAAGGTACATAAATCACATCCATTAAAAATACCATAAAATAATAATAATTTGGAATGAGGTATGTGATATTTTGATAGAAGTTAGATATTTAAAAAGGCTGTAGAGTGCTTCTTCAAACTTCCTATTTTGATGTCTTCACGATCTCAATTTTTATTTTCAATGATTTGTATATTTAAAAAACTTATATAGTCTTCAGCCAAATTTCCTTCTAAAAGGGGCATGTTGTTTGCTATATGTCATTTTGAAAACATGGACATGAATTCATAAAAGAGTAGAAACAAGCTATCAGGATTTAGAGGCAGAGGCACAGGATAATGAAGCAAATCTAGGAACAATGTGTTTTGGACAATTTCTCCAGTGCTGAATCCTGACTTGGAGCATCAGAGTAAAGATGTTGGGAATCTGATAATGTAAAGATCATAGAAAATTCCAAATAACTGTTCCTTGAAAGCACAGTAAAAACTGTACTTATTCCTAATTGTGCTTACCAGCACATGGATGGCCCTTACTCTGTTCTAGGCACCACTTGAAGTAGGTATTATTATTATCTTGGCTTCACATACTAGCAAACTGAGGTGCAGGGAGTGGGCATTTGCAGACAGTATGTTGCTAACAGTATGTTGTATACAGTACGCAGCTAATAATTTCTGTAACCAAGTTTCAAATGGTTTTTGTACAGATTATTGAGTCATTTGATAAAATTTAAATTGTAAAAAGCGGAGTTTGGTGCTGTAGATATGTAAGACATAATTCTTTTTTCTCAGAAGTTACATATTAAAGTATTTAGAGAGTATGGAAAATGATACAGTGAAATCACTCAAATTCAGAATAATTAGGTAGTTTGTCAAAGAACAAAACTGAATAAGATAAAATATATTAATAGGTGAATGTGAGCAAAAGGTATTTTAGTATTCAAGTAATTCAGTGGTAATTTTAATATGAGTTGTGTTTATGGGGAAAGGGTCAGAAAAATAGAAATTGATATTCATGATTTCAGGTCAGTAAATTATTTTATGCTACTACCCCTGGGGTATGAAATTATTTTATAACATTGTACAACTTATTTATTCAATGAAATGAAATTCAAATGTTGGCATTGTTCTCTTCAAGTTTCCCTCTAACTTTGCATTATCAATGTGACAAAATTAAGAGTTAATTTAGAACATTATACAGTGATGCTGTTCACTCTAAAGTTACCACTGTACTGAGTAACGGCTCTGCAAGTAAAATTGAATTCAAATGATTAGTTCAGTTCTTCAAATCTGGTTTCACTAAAACCATTGAAAGTGCATGAAAACAATATTTAAATGTGGATAATTTGCATATTCTGCTACATTTTAAATGCTAGTTTTATTTTCCCACTAAATTCCAACCATTAAATCTTTTAAAAAGGAGCAATTAACTTTAGAGTGCATAGTTGAAATTACCCTGGGGATCTGATTCTTCTGAAGAAGATTAAACAAGGATAATGAAGAAGAGAAACAGGGTGGTTTTACATTTCCCATGAGCTGGTGCCTGACTTTTCTCAGGTCTTCATTAGTTTACCTTCTGCTCCTTAGCATCTGAGTCAGTGCTTGTTTCCAAAACTTTATTAAGATAGTTAATTATTCTACTGTTTGTGGACTTTTAATCTGAACTTCATTATTTTTTCAATAATTGTTTACTTCTGAATTTAGAATGCTCAGCAGGAAAGGAAATTAAAAGGGTCATTATAGATAAAGAAATGCAGAATGTTAAAAAAGAACTTGGTAGTACAATTTTGTTTAAAAAGCATTTATTAATACATGTATGTAAAAAATAATGATTGTATTCATCATGGGAAGTTGGCATACGTACATAACACATCTTAATTAATTTTTTCCCTTTCTTCCATTCCCCTCATATGCTCCCATTGTTCCCCTTCCCATAGGAGAATTCTCTTTTTACTTCCCAATATTTATAGTCTATTTTGGCTTTTATTTGTGTCTTCAGTTTCCAACACAGAGAAAAAATGCAACAGTTAAACATGTGTTTATTTCACTTAAAATTATAGTTTCAAGGTGCATCCATTTACCTAAAAATGTCTCAAATTTACTTTCTTTGTGGCATAGTATTTCATTGCATATAAAAAACCCACAATTTATCCCTTCATCTGTTGATGGGCATCATCTAGGCTGTTTTCAAGATTTAGCTATTGTAAGTTGTGCTGTTATAAACCTGGGTGAGGAGATAATAATGTGGTGTGGTTCTTTTAACTTAGAAAGGTGCCAAGAGGAGAAACAACTGGGTTGAATGGGAATCTCTAGTTTCGGTTTTTTGAGGAATCTCTACACTGATTTCCATATTGTTGCACTAATTTACACTCCACCCAACTGTGGAGAGGTATTCTTTTTCCCCACAGCCTTGCCAGCATTTGTCTTTAAAATTCAGGAAAATGGGAAGCAAAGGGCTAAATATCACATAGTAAAATACAGAATTTTAAAAAATTGCATTGCTATTATTAGAGAAAACTTTTTCATAAATTTTGTCAAAAATGATAGCACAAAATATTAGCAAACTGTAGAACAAGGATACTTTAAAGATATACTCATTAAATTTAGTAAGATTTACAGTGAAGCAAAATGATTTGAATTCTTTTTAAAATGTAATTTAATAGTGAACCAAGGTAGAATTCATTTATCTACTAATTGCAAGTAGCAAAAAGTTAAATTATTTCAAATACTGAGAGGAAAATGGTGTATAATAATGAAATCCATTTCACTTAAATTATTGCCTCAACATGCATCCATCTTCCTACTGACTCAAGTACATCCTTCTTTATGGCAGACTAAACTAGTGCGACATTGGGCAGTGACCAGTTCAGCCACTGGGGTCCTGAAGGGGATGATGGGAGATTAAGCAAAGGCTGCAGACACACACCAAAAAGTAAGTTGGGAGATGATCTATCTAATGGAGACAAAGTGAACAGTAAGTATGGCCTGCTTGTTTATACACAGTAAAAATGGAGGAAGCATGTGATACAGTCAAAAGTGCAAGGTCTCAATGCTTTGCTGAGAACACTGAAAGTGAAACATTCTCAGAGCTGTCTGCGCTGCAGTTAACAGGGAGAAACACCAAGGCCAGACATCTGTTGGACTAGCTTTGCTCTAATCCCAATAATTTATATACATGGCTGGGCTCTGGAGCTCCGTATTCTCAGAGCTGGCCTTGCTCTAGCCCTGGATGTGTGGTTGATCTCCAGCTTTGCCATGCCCTCCATATATTTATTAGTCACAAGTGGTGGGTGGTCAGTTGCAGTTGGAGAAGCTGTGTTTATAGAGGACTGCATAGAAAAGCTATTTTCTTGTGCAAGGCTTTCTTTGCTTCTCTTCTTCAGATGTCCAAGGGGAAGTTTTTATCTGTGAAGGCTCTTTCATCTAAATGCTTTGCCTTCTGAATAGATTTACTTATTTAGGCTAAAAATTCCCACTCCAAGGACTTCAGGTCCCTATGTTTAGCAACTTAGCTCTATACAACCTAATAGTAGTCAGTTTTAGTGTATATGAAAACTGTCAGGTGTCAGCTATTTGAGCTTCTTTTTATAGCTAGTTTATTAGGATGGCATTGTTTTATACATATTGTAGTTATACTTTTCTGCTGGATGTTCAAGACCAAGTTAAAGTAAGACCTGTATTAATTAAAATTAGTCTTTTGCTATCTATCAAGATCAGTTAAATCTCCTCAAAATTTATCTTGGAAATACATGCAGTGCCTCTCAGTTCTTGTCAGTATCAGCCATCTGGAAGAGTTGTGGACTTTGCTTGACCAAGTTGCTTTCCAACAAAGCTTGAAAAACTTTTCCAAATGTCTCCCCTTAGGTATACTATACACCATGGATTTCTTTCCTCGGTAGTGCAGCAGTCTTTTTGGTCAGGAGATTATATAACTCATTAGTGTTTTAGGATGTCACTGAAAAGGTTCCCTCCTGTCCTGGATCCTGACCTTCAAGGGCCAATGTCAAAATATTGACTGTTCTCTTAGCCTATCTATCCTTCTAATTTTGCCCTCTAAAGTTTAGTTGCTGAACATCCAAGAAGAGCAGGTAAATGACATTACATTGTATTGTGAGCACTGAACTTACTTATTATAATTTTAACTAAATGTTAGGTACCTTGAAATATGAAGAATAGACCAAGAACTTAAATTTTTTCCAACCATGGATGTTCTAGTAGATGAAACCCTGTAGACTGTTAACAGACAACACTTAAATAGCTTTACACAGAAAAAATGAGATAAAAAGCCATATATAATATTTTAGCATGACAATCATGATGACATTTTTGTAACACTGTAATTTCCATTGTGATATGGAATAACACTTGTAGTCAGTTGTCTTTATCTAATACATACTAATCTCTCATCTAATTTGTTTTACTTTAATAACTGAGTGTAGTGGCACAAATAAAGCATATGCATCACCTAAATTTTTTGTTGAAAGTGTTTTTATTGGCTGGTAACTTCATATTTGCTTGTCATAAACCTTCTATCACAACTATCTGGAGCACAAGAAAAAGGGCAGATGTCTGAATCTGAATAAAAATGTTTACCATCATAAACAATTCCAGTCTTATATTTTCAAAGATCTGTATATGTGGAAGGAATGGATGCGTTTAATATATCATAAGATCGGTAACAATCATCATAGCTGTATGAAAACTTTTGTTTCTTATCCTTGTACCAGAGCAATTTTAAATCAGAAAAATTTATTGTCTTATTTCTAGAAAATTTAAGCTTTGACAATGACCGATGTAAACATATCACAGTAATATATTTTGAACAAAAGTATTGTGGTGTTTCCTAGGCTATGGAGATAAGTAGGACCTCCCATTAATGAACAAGAACTGGGTAATTTTTGTTTCAGGCTGCTTCTTTGTTCATTAATTGGAGTCCTGTCAATAGCTTCAATACCTTTTCCAAGGGATTTCTGTTTACATACCTTACCAATGTTTGATAAGTTATGAGTAACAAATCATAACAATTAACACATTAATTTTTTGACCAACAAGAGACTCTCAATTTTTAGTATAAAACAATAATTTGCATTGCACCTATAAAACCAATCTTAATAACATTTTTACCAACTTTCAGCTTTTGTAGAAGCATATCAGACAATTGCTTCAAAAATCCAAAAAGGTTAAAAGAAGAAAGATTTATTGCACTCAAATAAAAAAAATATTGGACATACAGAAAGACAAACATACATAAGACAAACATGTTTATAAAATAAAAATGCACTCAAAAATATTTTTGGCCCAATTTTAAATTTAAATAATTTTAAAAGTTTGTAATTATAAAGAGACTACTGAGAACTTTTCATAGGTCAATTAGCAGACATCTCTTATAAGAAGCATTCAGAAGTAATACAACCTCTTTATGTATAATAGGTTTTTTGTATCTTACTTTGTCTTAAGAATACTGGCAACTTTTGTGTCCTTTCTTTCATGTAGCTCTCAGCTCAGTTATCTATATAGACTCTATCACATACTCAGAACTTTTCTTCTTAGAGCATTCTATAAGACTTAATATAATTTAGGTTAATATTATCACTTAAGTAGACTATTTTTGCTGATACCTTTAATCTGTCTTTTTCTAGGGTCGTGCACTACCCTTTTGATCCCGAATCTCTATCGCTGTGTCCAAACAGTTCAGTGGCAGTTGCCTATACTGCAGCCATTTAATGGAAGAACAGTGACACTACATGCTTGGAGAAGAGGTTGGCACCAGTGCACTACTGGCTAACTGAGGCTCAGAAAAGACAAACTGTGGTTGTCCATCTTCTCCGAGACAAAGATGCAGTTGCCACTGGGTGCCCTGAGCCGGTGTGCACAGCCTGTTTCCTCCTACTCCCCTTGTTTGAGTCAGGCTCCAGGCTCAGTTGTGTAATACTTTGGTTCCCACCTTGAGCTGCTAACTTGTGCAAATTGGCCCTTTTTCCTCCACCATCTGGGGTTTTGAGAGAAGTGGTAAGAATACTGGAAAGAACTTTTTTTTCCCTGTTAAACCTTTAAAAGTCTATAGGGGTCTACATAGATCTGTGCTGATCTGCTTTTCCTCCAGCCCCAATCCAAGCTGCTTTCCTCCCCGCTCCCAAGTACGTAAATTTAGTTCTTTTGGAAACAAACAAATAAACTCAAGACATTTAGCAAGCTATGCAATTTTGATAGACATCCCTCTAACCTTAAGCAAAGCTTTAAGCATTTCAATATACAAAGAATTAACTTTGGATCATGAATTCCCCATTGTTCTACACCCAGTGATTACTCAATGTACTCTGTACTTTATTTGTTGTAGGGGACAGCTGAAACTAGAGATTGATTTCACATGCAGGGCTAAAGCAAGGCCAGTACTGAGAACTTGGACTGCACAAAGCAAACATGTGAACAAGCTGTTCCAGCTCCACAAGGTGAGTCAGGCAAACAAGTTGTTAGGTGGAAGGGTTTCAACTGACATCAACATCCCGAGTGTATAAATAAATGCACTGCAGTCACTGGGTGGCTATTTATCTTTTAGCAGGAGAGGAGGCTCCACCTGACCTCAGTTTTCTGCATCTTGACTCTTGTTTTTCTTTATCCTCCACCATCCCCACCTCCAGAGTTTGAAGAGTTGTGCCAAATGTGGCAATTAAAGTTGCACACTCCGGGATTGTCTCCTTGTCTTGATTTCTGAGCTCCCCCATGTGCAAGCCTCACATTTGGGTGCCACCTGCCATGAGTTGCTCAGCCAGCAGGGTCCTGAAAAGGGGCAATAGGTGATTAAGAAAAAAACTATAGACATATACTAAAAGGAAAGTTGGATCAGTTGAGACTTCATCTCTCCAATGAAGAGGGAGCAAAAACCCAGCATGATCTGTCTCTTCATTTATACATGGTAAAAAGTGGGGATGCACACAAGAGTGTAAAAAAATGCAAGGTCTCAATGTTTTGCTGATTATATTGAAAATAAAACATTCTCAAAACCATCTGTGCTGTAGTTAACAGGGAGGAACACCAAGGCTGGACACCTGCTGGACTGGCCTTGCTCTAGTCCTGAATGTGTGGTTGATCTCCAGCTCAGCTCTTCCTCACACATTGTGTGTAGGTATCCCATTTTCTTTATCCATTCTTCTATAGGTTGCTTCGAAGATTTAGCTGTTATTAGTTGAACTGCTGTGCATGCGTCACTATAATATGAGGTCTTTAACTCTGGGAGAAAATTCTCATACAAGCTTAAATATCATGTGGTTTCTCTTTTATGAAACCACCTAAATACAAATGAAGAGAAAAATAAAAGATAGTAAGAAAAATGGAGATAGATATTTTGCAAAAAGAAAGGAAACCAGATCTTGTGGGAATAAGAAAGCAGAGGGAAAGAGGGAGTAAAAAGATCTAAAATGTGGAATATACGTATGCCAACACCCATATGGAAAATAACCATCATGTACTGTAATCATACTATCCAATAAAAATAAAATTTGAGAAATTAAATTAAGTTAAACTATATATATTCTTAATTTCCCGACAGAATTTTTCAAATTTTATTTTTTTGTTTATGACAATTTTTGAAATAAGAAATTTGATTATGATATATTAAAATTTAGGATGAATTTTCTGTGTATAAAGCATAATAGCAAGAAAAATATTATTAAACAATCAGTAAAAATTTTAATTTACTGACAAATCCTTACATATTTTTGTCATTTTGTTGAACAAGTAGTCAACAAAATCAACAAGAAGGTTGTTAATTTAAGTAGACATGGAATTCAACACTATCTATACTTGGCAAATGTAGGATGTACCTTCTATTTATGTATTTATTTAATATTTTAATCTTTATCAAAAATTATAATCAAAACATAAGAAGATTAAACTTTAAGTTTATGAGTTCTGATGAAAAGTTTATGAGTTCTATGATTAGTTAATTCTTTCAAATGTTAATAATAATTACTGTTGAGTCAAGAAGAAATAATTTTTGATTTACAAAGTAATATAATTTCCATGAATATAGTATCAAGAAAATTGAATCTTCAGAATGTGTGTTTGTATATTTTTTGTTTGTTTGTCTTTTTCATGGCAGGGTTTCACTATGCAGTTCAGACTACCTTTAACTCATTTTGTAACCCTGGCTGGCCTCAAGCTTGCAGCAATCCTCCTGGCTCAGCCTCCTCAGTGCTGGGATTACACACATGCACCACCATGTCTGGTGAGAAAGTATGCTTCTGATATGGGTATGCCTTTCTTTCTTTCTTTCTTTCTTTCTTTCTTTCTTTCTTTCTTTCTTTCTTCCTTCCTTCCTTCCTTCCTTCCTTCCTTCCTTCCTTCCTTCCTTCCTTCCTTCCTTCCTTCTTTCCGTCCTTCCTTTCTTTCTTTCTTTTTTGGCACCGGGGATCAAACTCAGAACCTTGTGCTTGCCAGGCAGATGCTTATGCCGCTGAGCTAAATCTCCAGCGAAAGTACGATTCTGAAACAAATCATTTACTCTTTCATATAAAAACAAAGCTAAATATGTGAATCAAGTCATATATAATTCTTCTTTTTTTTTTTTTTTTTTTTTTTTTTTTTTTTTTTTGTCTTTTTCCTTTTTATCAGTACCGGGGATCAAACTCACGACTGTCTGCTTGCAAGGCAGGCGCTTATGGTGCTGAGCTAAATCCCCAGCCCCTCAAGTCATATATTTTGAATTAAGTAAATGGAATCCAATAAGTTAATAAAAAATAATAAGTTATATGTAACATGTAGAAAAGTTTCCTTCTTATAGCATACATTACCTATTTTATTTCACAATCATCAAAAATGAAATCCTAATTTTCTCACACTATTGTTGAAAGAATAGCAGTAAAGAGAAGGTTAATATTTAAACTTTTTTCACCTCTTGGTATGGATAATAATAAGGAAAATCTCTATGGGGCATGGGTTCATATCCATCATGGCATAATTTCTTCTATTTATCAGGTAAGAGATCATCTACATCAGCATTGTGTTTCCCTCAGACACAGCTCTCAACCACAATCTCAAAGAAAATCTACACTTCTGTTTTTCTAACTTTCATTTTATCTTTACTCTAGAAATGTGAGTACAATTAGTGTGTTTGAAAGCCAACCCTGAAACTGCAGCTGGAGGTGATGAGGTAAAGAAGGCAAGGAATTCCTTAGCATGTAACGATGAGGTACCACTCCAGTGGGTAAATGACACTCAGTCCTGGTGTGGAGTGTGGCAAGAAAGTGTGGGACACTCCTTGGAGTCATCTCTCTCAAGGGAAGATGAACCGGAAGTCAGGATGTCTGACCTTCAATTCTTACTTACCAACAGCTACGGCTGCTGGCGATGGAAGACAGTTGATTCCCAATACTGTGATCTGTCCTTTGCTGTGATAATGTGCGTGATAAGTCAGTGGTGTAAGTACCAGAAGGTCAGCACTCAGGGCAGATAACAAACCTCTAGCTTCAGGATCACTTCCAGCCCCCGCATTGAAGATGTGCTTTACGCAAAATCCTCATGAAGAGGCAAAACTGACACTGGTGCATAACTGAGCCGTCATAAAATTTCATGGTGACTTAAATGTTTTCTTGGTAAAGGGGGGTTGTCAGACTTTTCAGAATTATGAAAGAGATCAATAAAATAATTACAGAAAGATTTTTTCTTTTAGATACTTGTGAAATCCATGAATGAACACACATTAAACTAGAAAAATAAGATTGAGAACATTTCACAGGTTTTGTTGAAATTGATAATCAATGATGTCTCAGGTAAAATGCTGAAAATTATTTCAAGTAGAAATTAGGTTCAATTTTGGAAGATGTTTTATAATGCAGATCTAAGAGACTGTATATTTTTAAAACAAGGGCTTTAGGACATGATATTGTCCATTTAAAATACTTTTTATACTATTTATTAAAAATAAATCATTTATTATGTGTATCACAATATAAGAATATATATTTACTCTAAAATGAATAGTTTATTAAGCAGTTCATCACTTAATGATTTCAGAATGAATTTTAATTTTATAGTTTGGGTGAAAAAAAAAGGATTGATAAATAGTTCTGATTATTTGAATGGAAAAGCTACTAACATGTTGCATTTAAATATTTGTTTTGACTAAAAATGTTTTATACTATAATGTATAAAATTATGCATTAATTTTTACTTTTACATAGGATAAATAAGGCTTATCTATTGACAGTCAATTAAAGTAACATATTCAAGATGAACTACAGAACTCCTGACTATCCAAGTCTTATTGTAGAATTGCTTTTAGCTGCCACTAAGAATCTATGTTCGGTACTTATGTGCTGCATACTGATATTACAGTCATAGACAAGCCTCCTATCTAATGGTAGTTCCAAAGAGCACTGTAAAGTTCTTATTCACCAAGGGAGATGATAGCCATCACATTGTGGTACATAAAGCACATAACTTGTACATTTGTTGTGATGCTAGTGTAAAGAAACTTTGCTGCCAGACACATAAAAGTACGGAGTATCCAACTATGTACAGTACACAATAAGTGACTGTTCCTATTTTGTGCATTCTTCTAAAAATATTTTTTCCTTACAGAGATTGAACCTTGAGTCCTACAACTTGCACAGACTGAGGAGTGAAGATCCACTCTGGATATGGGTGGCACCAACAATAAGCTTGCAAATTGAATGGAATGAAAAAGGGAAAGAAGGTTTGACCTCTTCCCTTAGAGAAGCTCCAGTCTTGGCCGTTTCTTTGGATACTGTCCTCCAGTGTTGGAGGGTTCCAGTGTAGACTCTGGTTTTCAAATGCAGGTTCACACCGGTGACTGTAGTGATTTTCTAGGTCTTCAACCTTCGGCTGCTTCTGGCTCCTCGGGCTCCCAGTGCATAGATGACATTGGGATTCCTCCCCCCTGATCCTGTGAGCCTCCCTGGTGGATTCCTTGTACAATTATGCATATATTTTACATTGATTCTGCTTATCTAGTGAACTGTAAAACAACCATTTAATATTTATTATTATAATATCAAATACATATTTTTACTATGAATTTCAAATGTGATGCATATTTTATACTTGTAAGACATCTTAATTCTGAATAGCCACATAGCCTTTAATAAGTCATCTGGATAATGGATACTATAGTGAAGTACGGTTTATTAGGGACATAACATCTATTCCCATATTGAATGAAACATGTTGCCCTGACTGATTTGTGTATGCGTCTTTGGATTGGGTTTATGTTCTTTCAGTGAGATGTCTTAGCATGACATGTTGACAGAAGAATGAATCTAAGGTCATTTTTCTCTGTCTTTTTATTTTTCTAGTACTCAGGTTTGAACCCAGGACTTTGCACTGAACTACACTCCTTATCTCTCTTTATTTTTTTTTTTTAAATGTTTTCCTACACCGTCTTGTTAAGTTGCCCAGTTGGGCTCAGACTTGCAATCTGTCTTCCTGAGCCTCCCACAGCACTGACTTCAGTGTCATGTGTCACTGCACCACTAGACCAGCCCAAGGTCATATTTCTTTTGCAGTGACAACAGAGAGAAATATTTACCACTCCGTGCCCAGCTGTGTCCTCTGTGGGGATGATCTAACAAGTGACAAGGAATGGTGAAAAAGGCCACAGAAGTCTTCTGACTTTTGTTTCCAATTTCCTGGGGTCCCTGCAATATTTCTTCCAATGTCAGTCACCCTTCACTGTTTCCTTTCTTCCTTTGAACAATTCCTATTTCAGATTCAGAAACCTCTCCCTTCAGAAAATATTCTCTGACCTCTCTCAGTTTCCTACCAATGCACTTCTTTCCCAGGTGCTCATCACAGTATTTTGTAATTGCCTGTTAGTTTCTTAACTACAGCTAATATTATTGATATTCATTTATTTATCCTCCAACATATTATATGTTCCCAGAGAATGCTTATTAAACACACAACTGACAGATGGAGCCAATAGCAATCAACAGCTTATTTTGGCTACAGTTAGGAAAATTCTGGACCACAAGAAACACAAGGACGCTTGTATTTTGGTAAATGAGGAACAAACCGTACCTTAGTCCTTGGAAGACACACACAGGAGTGTAAATGGAGGGGCACCTAGTGGGTCCCACAATTGTTTTATGAACATGAGCAATGCACAGAGCTGCTCCTAGCATAGTATTCACAGTAGGTACCTAAAGAGTTCACTGACAAATTAACACAGAGATGAGCAACACTAGCAACATTGACATTTCTGTCATAAACATTTAGGTATAGTTAACATACTCATATAATAAGGTCACTACCTTAGATGTGTTTTGAAAGACGTGGGTTGGTCAAGAACTTTCCTCCCCTTTTGGTTACAGTCAAAGAGACATACATATCAAAAGGAAAACTTTTTAATTCATAAGAATGTAATAATTGGGCATGGGATTTAGCTCAGTAACATAAATGCCTGCCTGACAAGCGAGGAGTCACGAGTTTAATCTCTAGTACCACACACACACACACACACACACACACACACACACACGCACACGCACACACACAAAAGTAATTGTTGCCTTTAGGATCTTACAGTTTTGTGAGTCCCCTTTTTCTCTTTGTTTTGACATTTTAAATTTGATGAAATAAGTGGTTCTCTTATAATATGCATTCTATTATGTATAGTGAACCAGACACATCTTTCATAAAATCATTTTGGATTTATTTTTGTTGTTTTTTTCCCTCAAAATGTTAGCCAAGAAACTATAGGGCTCATTTGCCAATTTATTTACAACTTTTGGAATCCAGACAAAAAAAAGAGAGAGTTGTAAGAAATGAAGTTTAAATGTAAGGAGATTTAATTAGAGATTAGTGATTTGTATTATGAATTTTGATCTTTAATTGAGATTTCCTTGAAACTGCCATTATCTAAAGAGTTAAAAGACCTCTGAGTTGAATATAGTAATCCTATAATCACATATTTGCTCCGCTTTTACTTATTCCTGATGGTTATTGTAAGTGGAAATGCTGCCGAGGAAGTGGGTTGAGGAACACTCCTGGAGCGTCTGTGTGGCACTAGCAGCAGATGCGTGATGAGGATTTATTGCAATATTTAAGTTCCCTTCTTCCTCTAAAAGCCTGGAATTTCTTTTCATAACCGATTTTTGGCTGTATCATTCCTCTTCTTATTTTGTCTCAAGATTTGAATTCCTTATTGTCCTTTCATGGAAGAGAAGGTTATTTCATTGAATTTCTTCCGTTCACCTTCCGTGAGTCACTGTGGGGTGAAATCCAGTTTCATTCTCCTACTTTCTTGATTATAAAATTAGTACAAAGACTTCTGGAGGCATTTCAATGATTTATTCTGGAGGAAACATCATGAGACAGATAAATTTTTAAGTGAATTTAAATAAAAATTTTCCACATTATTTATTAGAATGTATTAATGAAAAGAACTTAGCCCTAATAGTTTTCACATCATCATCATGTCTTTATTATTGAAAATCTTGGAGACTTCAGAAGTTTTAAATAATTATATCAGGGGTTTCATTGCCCAGGCCTCCCTACTCATTCCAATAACATATTTTTAGTTACTTCTTACTTGATCTGCAGTATTATTGAGGAACATAAGTGGATGTTTCTTGAAAGAAGGATCATTTGGTCACTGAAATCAGGTAAGTGCTACAGCATAAGTACCGTGATGGTTAATTTATGTGTCAACTTGACTGAGTTACAGAGTTCAGGATATTTGACAAACATCACTTCATGTACATACAAAGAGGATTTGGTATTCTAACGCTATTGGGAAATAAGTCGCATCTAAAGAGCTGAAGACCCGAACTGAACAAAAAGGCTAACAGGAAACTCCAACTGCCTACCGGCTTTTCCTGCATTGGCTTCTTCTGGTCTTTAGACTGGAAAAGTTTCATTCATTCCTAAATATCACATGTGACGAACTTTAATTTTGATACTTGGAAAATCAGTTCTACTGGTTCTTAGGACAGAACCCACTGGCATTTTGCACTTGCATCTTAGAACTTCTCTCCCCCTTAAGTGTGAGGAGCAACTTCTTATAATAAAGCAAAGTCAATATGTTCTTTCTCTGCCTTTATGTGTTTCTTTGGTCTCTTTTTCTGTGTGCCTCCCTCTCTGCGACTGATAATCTCTGTATGACAGTCTGGCCTATAGGTGTGTGTGTGTGTACGCACACACACATGTTCTATTGCTTTGGCTTTTCTGATTCGATTGCATAGTGATTGCTTCCTTACTAAAGACTTTCAGTAGACACTAGTGTGCTTCCATGCAAGGAAACACTGTGAGATGGACAGAGTAGTAATCATTTCTCAAATGTGCTTAACTATACAAGTTTTATTTTTTTATTTCATGTTTGTTTTTAAAATTTTCAGCAGAGAGTACTGGCATACTACAATTTTTTCTTCAGGCAATATTAAATCTCAATTCTGGAGTCATCTAAACAGCTCTTCAAGGAACAGAAAAATATGTATCACAAGGATAAGTCTACTTTTCCTTTTGTGAAGAAGAAAAATGGCAGTTCATTTCATATTTTCTAAAAACCACATTTGGCATTATCCGTCTTAGAATTTCATCTTTCTTTTAGGCCAGTAACGGTGAATCTTTTAACGATCAGAACCTATTTATTTGTTTCAAAGTGCCAACCCTGCAATTAAACTTTAATACTGACATTTCAGTTTAGAAAAAAGAGAAAAAAACAATTCATACATTAATGTATTTTGTCTTAAAACAACACCAAATAATATGCATTCTAGGTTCATCACCACTGCCCTAAACACATTAGTTTGTGTTTAGTTCTTGTTTTGTACAGTAAAGCAACCATCACCTGAGCACTTTACCATAAAAGAGCTAAAAACAAGATTAGCAGCAAAAATTCACAACCTTTGAAACCCTGGGAAAGTGAGGGGGGCTGCCTTCTATGCCTTTGGAATTTCAAGTATCACAAAGCCTGCCTCTGGTGACAAAGTATCTATAATAAGGATTATTAAAACTGAGGACAAAACCTCATACCTGCAGTCTATCAGAGCCCATAATACTTTTCCACAAAAACCATCAGAAAAGAATGACATATTTTTGTCATTTGCTTGTTTTGTTTTTTTAAAATTAGTGTATGTGTGAAATACAGAGTAGGAGGATTAATCTTAGGGAGCCAGTACGTGCACATAATTTTCAAATATCCCCACCACCATGCAGCTTGCTTCACGAACTCCAAACATCTGCCTTTCAGTGTTTTATCGTCTCTCATTTTATTTATTTATTTTTATTTTGGGTTCTCCCATAAGAGAAGTAATGCAATATTTAAGTTTTTAGGTCTGACTTTACTTAGCATGATGATTCAGATTTCATCCATTTTTCTGCAAATGACATTTATGGTATAATTATATTCAGTTGTATATATATATATATATATATATATATATATACATACACACACACATACACACATACTACAGTTTCTTTGTTCATTAATTAGTTGATGGGTAGCTAAAATATTCTAATAGCACATCTCTCTGGTGAAATACAGAAATGTCATTGCAAAATTTTTATGGATTTTTGGGCTCTGCAATCTAGAAGTTAATTTGAAAGTAAGGAATAAAACTGAGTATCAATGTGGTATTTGGCATATCTGAATTGTACAAAAAATCTGTAAGAAGCAGACATACTGAATGGTGAATATTTATTCTGTGTTGGATAAAAGGGGAAAAAGTAAAGAAAAAGGATGTTTCTTATGCCCCTAATTGGTATAATAAATTTTCAGAAAAAAAACAGACAAAACTACATTTCTTAAAGGGTAGTATCTGAAACCATCTCATTAATGTTACTTGTAATTTTTAGAAACACGAAACCTTAGGCCACACCTAAACTCAGCGATAATCTCTGGAGATAGAATCCTCAAAATCTGTATTGTCACGTGCACTCATCATAATTCTGAGACACCTAAATTTTGAGAACTGGTGGTATGAAGTTGTTTTTTTTTTTTTTAAAGGAATTTTTAGGTCTTTCTTAGAATCTAGTAAGGGTAAAGAATGCTTAAAGTTTTATGTAGCCTTATTAGAAACTAAAATAACTAGTGAATCTATCCAAGAATATCTTTGTAGTGTTGAAAAATTAAAAGGAAGTGAGCCAGCTAACCTTTGCGTTTTGCAGAATATTAACTTAGAGTAGGAAGACTGGTGCCTGAGTTACTGCAAAAT